AAACTAACCCTACAAATTATTTAAACCACTACTGTGTGTCACTATAGCTAGTAAAGTTTTGTAACTTAATTTTTTTTTTACATACGGTAGAAATCACGAAAATTCGAATACAACTAACTCTACAAATTATCTAAACCACATACTGTATGTCATTATAGCAAGTTTTGTAACTGAATTTTTTTTTTTTACACACAGTAAATCACGGTAGAAATTACGAGAATTCGAATACAAATTAACCCTACAATTATCTAAAACATATACTGTGTGTCACCACAATAGTCGGTAAGTTTTGTAACAGAATTTTTTTTGCATACAGTAAATCACGGTAGAAGTTACGAAAATTCGAATACAAACTAACCCTACAATTTATCTAAACCACATACTATGTGCGATTAAGTTTTGTAGCTAAATTGTTTTTACATACAGTAAATCACGGTAGAAATCACGAGAATTCGAATACAAACTAACCTTACAAATTATTTTAAACCCGTAACGGTAATGTGTGTCGCCGCAATAGTATGTATAAACTCAGAATAATGCCCGCGTTATTTTGAAAATCAGGATTAACGCCCATGTGCATCCCGAATTAACGCGCATCCCTCTATAAAAAAAAATAAATAAAGTGGACCGGAACTGGATTTGGTACTAAATAAATCTGCTTTCATGCTTTAAACAAAAAGTTGTTCTTCAAACTGAGGTTTACTTAGTACAAAATCCAGTTCAGGAACACTTTTCATTTCTTACTATACTTATTATAATTAAGGGGTGTTTATTTAACCTATATTTCGAAATAACGCACCTAGGCGCACTCAAAATGACGCACAGGTGGCATTATTTCGAGTTTATACAGTAACAGAATTTTTTTTTACATACAGTGAATTACGGTAGAAACCACGAAAACTAACTCTACAAATTATCTAAACTACATACGGTGCCACTATAGCGTGTAAGTTTTGTAGCTAAATTTTTTTTTTTTTACATACAGAAATCGGTTCCGGAAGAGGAATCAGTTATGTACCCTTCTTAATATATATTGTTACTGGCAAAATCGCATCCTTGGGACTTGTACTCTGCAAAATCAAATCAAATTTTGAATTTGAATCAAATACTTGATTAAATTTATTAAAATTTGATCAAATATTTGATACAAATTCAAAATTTGATTTGATTTTGCGGAGTACTAGGGACATTAGACCAGAAAAGGGTCATATAGCTTGAGTTCAATGGCGGTATAATGACAAAAAAGAGGAGAGAATTTTCGATTTTGTTCTTTTCTTGCCCTGTAATTTTGTTATAAATAAGAGGTCAAATTTCTCATGTTAAGGCGTGGTGTGTGTAATTTGCCCCTACACATTTAACTAATTAAATAAAAACATAACGCTCTTTAAGTCTGCTAAATACTCTTGTAACGTACCTCAATAGACGTCTTAGACCACAACCGCCTCATCTTCTCTCGCGACAATTCGTCACTTATCGTTATCTCTTGTTTTGTTGGTTGACCATTTCGCCACTAACAATATATACCGGTGACTTTTGTGATTTACATGATACTGGTATATCTTATCTAAAGTAACAACCTTGGCTTATTACAAGGATTTCTTTGGCTGTCTGTACTGGCTTCCAGAAATGTCTAGTCGGCTATTAGTATTACGGCTTGATAACGGTGTCTAAGTTACACTATTAGCAGCTCTATCTGTATATGGGTATCTCAAGAAGTAATTCAACGACATACTGAACTCGGAAAAGCTCAGATAATTTCAACAATATTATATACGACATACGAAACTTGGAAGAAACTTGAATAATTTCGACATATATTCAATTCGTCTAACGGCACAAGTAAATGCAATCACTATCAGATTTGAAAAAAGATGATCAGTTTTAGAAAAAAAAGTGGACTATTTGCAAATAATTTCGAAAATATTCAATTCGTCTAAAGGCACAAGTAAATTCAATCATTATCAAATTAAACCGATTTGAAACGCGTTGTTCGATTTTACAAAAAAAAGTGGACTATTTGCAAGGCGAAGAGAATATGAACGACTTATCATCACTCGAATACGAAGAACTTACGGGAGCTTGGATGATTTCAGCAATTTTGATGAAAAAATTTAGGTGCCTATGTATAGGTTTATGTTGGCTTGAATAAGGGTGACTAAGTAGGCTTTCAAGCTTTTACTGGCTTGTCAGGATTTTGATCGACTCATATTGATTTTATTAACAATATATATGTATATTATAATTAAATTCAATAAAATATTCTTTGAATTACTCTATTAAGTATTTTTCGAATGTGTATATAAAGAAAAATGACTAAGTGTGATCGTTAAAATATTAAAAAAAGCCATTAAGATAAGTATGAAGTATATAAACGACTTCAAATTGAGAAATAACGTAGAATATATGCGCACTACTACCATTATTCACCCACACGCTTGCACTCAATCCTACCCATTTATTATATTTGCCACCTTTCCATCTTCTAAAAAGCTAAGTAGAACTTTAAGTAACTTCCGTTAACTTTTTAACTGTTCACATCTTTAAGAAAATAGTAAAGGAGTTAAATGGTTAATAATATACCGGTTTAGCTTGAGTTTGAAACATTTTTATATATAAAGAAGTATAGTAATAAAAATTGTAGCATTGTATAATTTTATATTCTTAAACTCATACGTATATTTAATTATTTGACTTATCAAACTTACAAGTATAAAGACGACCATACTTATAAGTATAAAGATACTTAAAAGTAAGATGATTATACTTATAGGCTTACATAGTGTCGCCTAGCAAAAATTGTAGCGGTATCATATTCCGGACAATATTCAGTAATACGTACTTACAATTGTAGCCAATATGGCTTTCGGTTATTGTTAAGTACAATTAAAAGTAATTATATATATTAATTAATATTCAATAACTAGTATTCCATCAATATGCTTGATATTAAAAATTATATCCCACAACTAAAATTTCATTCTAAAAAACTTAGAAATCAGGAGTTACCGTACAGCGCTGCATACTGTATCCATTGAAGAAGTATCTCCTTTGAATAGTACCAGGTTACTATTCATTTGTAAATTCTAACGTTTTTGAAAAATACCCTGGTACTAATCAAATAGCTGAATCAATAATCCTGTTAAATTTAACTCGTATGATTAATATTCTCTTCAATATAGTATCCCCATACCCCCAGGGATATTATTCAACTAGTAATAAAACGACGGCGTTTTATAGGACTAAAGCCTTAGATATTAGCGTTAGGGAAAAAAAACCTGGATATCAAAAAGGATTACGAAACGAACTAAGCGCGCGTATCATGTTACACGCCTGATTATCAAATCAATTTTTTTTATCAATATTCGTAAATTTTATTCTCTGAAAAAGATTTACATGTCCCCTTTATATTCGTATATAAAAATTTTAAACTTCCTTATTATTAACTCCATTCTTATGTATTATTGCAAATTTTTGAATTATACGTACTTCGGCATTGTTTAAACCATTGTTATAATTAGGCCTTAATGTTACATAAGACTATTTGCTCATCACTACGTAACAATTAAGTGATTTTTAAAACATTGACAGTGATGCTAAGATTTTACTAAAGCAGAAATTGTCGTGTATGATTGGTCAAGTTCCGTGTATTTCACTAAATTTTCATTATAACATATAGTATTTTGTTAAAAAATTTTATTTCAAAGGTTCTCCATTTTTTTAATATATACTAGTTCACGATCATGATTACGTCTTATATATTCGCGTTTTAAGACATCTGCAGTTATATACGTAGAAATTAACAAATCAAACTTCTGCCTATAAATAGTGTATAGAATTGAACGTGCGCTTAAGATGATTGCGCACATAAATTTTATTTTCCTCACATACTTTTCAACGTTATTTTTTTAAATAATAAAGCATGATACTCTAGCGCTAGGGTTGTGCGTCAACTAAAGTAAATCAAATCTATATCTCGAAAATCATACATATATATACACAGTGGCTCTCGATATAACAGACCATCGATATAACGGATATTGCTTAATACGGAGAATTATAATGGAACCAAATTATGATTTACTATAATATCTTATATATCATTAAATTTTGATATAACGGAGCAAAGGACTGGAACCATGGCCTCCGTTATATCGAGAGCCACCGTGTATTACGAAATAAATATAAACCTAAATTTCGTTTAGATGCACGGATAGAATTTTTTTTCTTTTCTAAAAACTAAACGTTTCTTATGCAAAGTTAAGAAGCCTTCTTTTAAATCATATATATTCTAAACATTTATTCCAAATCCATTATTTTTAATATATTCTGATTTTTCAATATTAAATATTGAATTTAAGCCGAGTTGTATTTCTTTATAAAAATTGGTTCGTTACTTCTCTCGTAGAGACTTAATATTAATTCTTTCAAATATTACTTTGAATTATGGTACGGTTAGAGCTGGGTATCTATTTCTGTTATATACTTAGCAATGGTTATATATGTGTACGTAACAGTAACATTATTAAAAAACACCCTTTTCTTGTAGGCACATGAATATAATTGTTTTAATAATTGAATTACAAAACTATATTTATAACGCACACACAAATTAAAGTTTGAATTTTATACACTGCCTGCTACGTATAATATTTCATAAAATAAATCGCCTTTGCAACATAACAGATAAATGAATCAATTCAAGCATTTCAAGTATAATCCTACAACAAATTATTTCGAATATGATGATATTTGTATCAGAAGCTTTATAAATACATGCAATACTTTTAAATATTTACAAAAGATTAAGATTTCTAATATTGTTTTCATATATTCAAACCGGGTTGAATTAGGTTTAACATATGAAAGTAAAAACCGGTTCAAAGCCCTAGTTCAAATTAATATGTATATATTAAGCTTTTATATTGAATTTTTATCATTCAATATATTCGACTCTTCGGAAACACTACGTAACACCCAAATAATCATTGCATTATTTCGTTTTACGCCGCTTAGATTTCGGTACTTCCTCCGTTATTTCGGAATGTTTACGTTTCTTGTGACATGCCATACCTCTCAGATGAGTAAATCTCATCTTGCAATTAGCATAATCGCATTTGTATGGTTTTTCTCCACGATGCACGCGCGCATGACTCTTCAAACTGTTCAAAGTATTAAAACCTCTGCCGCATCCAGGTTCGTCACACACATATGGCTTCTTTCCATTGTGTGCTTGTTGATGAATCACAAAACTTTTTAAATATGTATAACTTTTATTGCATCCGGGATAGGCGCAAACAAAAATTTTCTTATCCGTAAGAACTCCACTGTCATAGTCACGACTTTTTTTTACCGGTACGAAGTGATTTTCATCAACAGCATCAATAACGTGACTTTCATCGACAGCATCAATAACGTGACTTTCAGTGTCAGATTCAGATTGATCATGATAAGGCTCATCTTCAAATGATTGAGTAACGTGCTTGCAATTACCTAAGTAAAATATGATTCAAATGCAATAATTAATATATAGAAGTAGTTATCATTCAAATTATATATACGTAGAGGTTGTATTCATGCAAAAATTATTATTACCGACACTAATTGCAGACTTACTTGTATGACATGTATAATTAACACTTGCATTACTTTGAGTTTCAAGTTTTCCTAATATCTCATCATCCTCGAGTTCGTCGGAATCTTCACATATAGTAGAATCATCACTATCTTCATATAACGTCGTGCTCGTCTCACTAACGTCATTCACTGATTTCCTCGAGTTAAGATCTCTTAAAATACAATTTTCATTTGTTTCCTTAACTCCTCTTAGGTATGATCTCTCATCTCTGATATCGTTATTACTACTCGTTAAGATATTTTGTTCTGCATGTTCTACACTATGATCATGTCCATCTTCACGTGTAATCTCACTTTCGTTGCTTCTCTTAGAAGATTCACCAATTCTCCTCATTTGTTTACTATTACTATCTCGTGCGTCAACCAACGAAATACGTTCAGAAATACCATCTGTTGAATTTTTTCCATCACCAAAAACCAAGTCGATCATATTATCATCACGGCATGATATTTCTGACTTCATTCTAATCTTTTTAGTTTTTCCACAAATTGTAAGTACAGTGTTTCCAGTTACCTCTAAAAGATTTTTAACGTAAAATACAATGAATGAGAAAAGGTAAGTTTATTTGTGTTCACCTAAGGCTTTTAAGCTCTTAAAGCTTTCCTTTCATTATCACTATACATTGTAGCTTAATTACACGAAAACAAGAGCTGATTCCTCAGTTTACATAAGAAAGAAGTATACACGAAACCTGGTAACCGAATTTTAAGATGATCTGCGTTCACAACAAGCTTTTTCATCTTTATGAAAAAGTAATGAGGTTGAATCTAAAAGGTTTTTACACCATTAGAACGGCTAATTAAAAAAAGCGTATATGGTTTTGAAAATATACTGACGAAGGTATAAAATTTTCATATAGTAAAAAACGTGTCTGGAACGTTCTTTCAACTGTGAGGAAGTCAATAAATTTGAAATATGTATAAAAATAATATCTTTTCGTTTCTGCTAAGGTTCTATCAAAGTTTATGTGAATTAATTTTTTTATTGCTAAAGTCGGAAACTTGGACGAGATAATTGTACGTACGTATGTACAAAAACAATTCATTTATCGTTTAGTATATCGTTATGCAAATGTTTTAGTGTAACCAAACATGGGTGGGGCATTTCTAGGGGCGTGCATGTGATAAACAGGGTTGTACAATGACATTTGGATATCGATACGCTATTTATTGTTTAAAGTATCTTTCTTGATACATTGACAGCATTCAATACCTCATTTTAGTCAATATATATCTATAAATTCAAAATTTGCTAATTGCTCACAAACAAAAGTCTTATAATTATGGCATGAAACAACAAATTTCGCATCTTAGCACGAAAAACAATATAGCCTAGCTATTTGTAGTAGATAGAGTTCAAAAAATTACAATACTGTATATGAGTGATGCAGAAGAAAAGCCTAGATGTGAATATTAACTCCAGAAAAATTATAAACCGATTGTACTAAGTTGAAACTGGTTCGGTTAACCGATTGAGAGCTTATGGTTCGGCTCAAATCACCCCAACATCGATCCTATACTGTAATATAATGCACAAATGGTACAACAATTTATACATATACAGTATATCGATCTCTATATTTTTCGTAGTCGAAAAATCTTTACGTACATTGCGGTAGCGTTAACATATTTGTTATCGTTAACGTTAAGAAAAAGGTACGCCTCGAAATTGAAATAAGTAAAATTCATGGGTCATAAAATCATGTGATCGATATTCAGCCCATAAAATATTTATAGGGGTATTTGTTTTCCTCCGTTCATATTTCTAATAATGGCACAGGATGCAAAGTCCAAGCGTGCTTCTTCTGGCTTCTCTCTTCGCGGAATAATAAAACGGTCGGAAGTTTCTTCTTCCTGGGAAGATATATTAGGTTTAACTCCTCCAACAGTTTCAGAAAGTACTGATGATCGTCCGCAATACGACCCTTCTAAAAGTCGTCCGATAGATACAAAACTGTTGGTACAAGAATTGCAAAAACCTATCCCTATAGAAACCCGTATTAAACTTATTAAAGAACTATGTGATATTGTCACAAAATACACTTTTTCTGATATGACCGAAGTATGGGTTTGTGTTAGTGATCTATTAACATCGGATAAGGCGGAAGCAAGAACTGTTGTATTTCAATTTATGATTTCTTGCATAAAAGGACAACATACCGATAATTTAGGTTTTCTTAGAACAATTTTTTATGATTGTATAAAATCTCATAATAATGTTCAAGATTTTGAAATTAGATTAATGGCATTGAGGGAACTATGTCATGATGGAAGAAATATTTCTTCCTTTGAAAAAAATTTGGTAAAATTACTTTCTGAATGGGTTAACGAAACTGTACGACAATTGGACACTCAAAGTTCAACGGTTCAACAACAAGAAGGACTGACGATCATTATGGCTCCTTTTTTAAGTAATGAACCAATCGGTGAATCATTAGATTCTGATATATCTTCACAACCAACCTTTACGACAAGGTTGCAATCAGTAGTTAGTCTATTGATTAATGTTGTCAAATTTAATTTTGCTCAATTTGAAGAACATGACATTTCTCGACTTGTTGAAGATATTGCCATCGCATGTAGGAAATCAAAAGATATCTTGGATATAGAATGTTGTCTCAATTTTTGGGATATAGTAGTACGATATGGTTATGTACCTTCATCTTCATTGAAATCATATGTAAATGTTCTATGCGATAAAGTTAATCATGATGGTTCGATTTCACAAACAAGTTGGCATATAATGCGTAACTTATTAAGAAGTCATTGCGATTATGGTACCATCAAAATATTATGTGATAATTTAAATGCTGAAATAGTAACCGTTGAATCAACAAATATTTTACGGGGATCTGTATGGTTTTTAGGAAAGTCATTATGGGGTCCTGAAAGGGTCGAATCTCTTTCACATACTTATTCTGCTGCCCTTTCAGCAATGAGTCAATCAACAAAATCTTATCGAGATCCTATAGTTCATTTTGAAATTTTGTCTCAGATTAGTGAACTTGTCACAAAATATGAAAAAAACATTGCTTTATTGGAATGGGATATCATATTAGATATCTTAAATAGTACTCGATATCATTTTCTAGAGAGTAAAGCTTTGAAAGAAAAGGGTAATTTTGTACTAGACGATGCTATAGATATTGATTTGGATCGATCCAATGACTTAGCTGTTATAATAGCCTATAGTAAACTAATACTTCAAATTCAGACTTTACACACATCTTCTTCATTTGTTGGATCTACCTCGCGTTTTATAAGTCTCATTCAAGACCTTAGGGATCATATTTCCGAAAATACTATCATTATGCTTCTTGACTATTATGATGCAGAACACACTTTGTATCCATCTTCACCTGATTGGCTTGTTATGTTAGTTGATGTGGTTAATACATTCTATATTAAGAGATCGTTATCTAAGGTTCGCCAAAAAATCTTTACAATGACGATGACTGTATATGAGGTTACAAAAGATATCTATCAAGATAAGCTATTAGAAGCTGTTATAATTCCTATGTTGACCGATTTACCTGAAGAGAGTGATCGTAATTTATCTAATTCTTCTTTGGAGTTCTTAATTATTATTCTCAAAGAAGCTCCAAGTCGCTGGTTCTCTGCTTTGCTAAAGATCCTAATACAATGTTGTCGTTGCATTTGTACTTATGAACAATCAGATGCTAAACCACGATCCACGCATTCATCAATTTGTAAATGTGTCTCCTCTACCGAAGGTCTTATTAACATATTTCAGCACTGTTTGTACAAAGCTGGATTCTTGGATGAATGCATCGAAGTTTTCACGGAAATTATTAAAATTCTTGGTGACATTACAACATATCCTATAATTTGTCGACTTACTTTATTGCAATTATTGGTTAGAATGAGTGCTGATAACGACCATAGAATTTATTTTGTTGACAATTTAGATTTAGTACGAATTTTGCATCGTGATGGGGTTGTGACAGAGCAAAATTCTTTACCAACATCTGCCTCTAGTAATACTAGTACTAGTTCAGGGAAAAGTAATGTAAAAAAGAAAATGGAGCGAAGGGGCAGTTTAATAGATATGGCGAACTCGTTTCTTGACAAGAAAGAATTCAATAGATCTCTAACACCAGATGAAAATAAAAGTATTCCGGAAACAAGTGTAACCACAATTCAACTAGAACGCCTTTGGCAAATACCCGAGACTTTAAGCTTCAAACTTATTTCTAGTCATCCGAGTCCCTATGTTCTTTCTTATGAAATTCCCTCAGAAAAATCAGATCTGGCTCAAAAGATGTGTAGTGAAAGTATTTCGGAACCTGAAAAGCTCGATATTCAAAATGACACTTCACACACGAATGGAATTGAAACAGAATGTCGATTTAGACAAATTGTTCTACCAATAAATCTCTATTTAAAGTGTTTGATAGATATCCTTACAAATGACAAAGATTGGGATATATATTCGTACATTTTATGTCATCTGCCATCGCAATTAAGTAAACAACAATTATTTTGTGCTGCATCCAACGAAATTCTTATTTTAAGAAGTTATTTATGCGATTCGATTTTGAACAACAAATTAGCAGAGGGCATCTTGCTTCCAGCAGATATTAAAAAAGTGGATGTGTATGTTATGGCTTACCAAACTTTGACGATTCTTATAAGCTATCGCAACCTATTTATAAAGAAGGATCGCGATGAGTTAGTTTTGACGTTTAATTTTGGTTTACAGAAATGGGGGCATAGTGCAAAACCTTGTATAGATGCTCTCAACATTTGTTTATACGAATTACCTCTCTCGGGTACAAAGCATCTTCAGAATACACTCGACAGCTTGTCAAAAATCATAACAACTAGTACAATGAGTGTTCATATTCTTGAATTTCTTTCGGGATTGGCTAGGCTACCAGATTTATATGTTAATTTTACCGAATCCGATTACAAACGTGTATTTGGTATTGCAGTGCAATACATTCAATATAGTCGTGCTGCTGCTGGACAACAATTGACAACTACAAATTCCATAAGTACTAATGCATTGAGTCAATATGAAAATATTATGGCATATCATGTCATATATCTTTGGTTTATGTCGCTTAGATTATCAGAACGACGAAAATATGTAACATTTATTGTTCACGGTCTATTAGTTGCAAATGGATCTACTCAAAATGTTGACGAACAGACAGAGACGTGTTTCGATATGCTTGCACGTTTCTCTTTTGCTAATCCTGGACCTAAGCCCGAACCATCGTTTATAACACAGGTATTAACCGACCAAGGAAAAGATAAGGTAAAATTGTCTACGTGGGTTCAAGGCAATTCCTTTTTGACAATAAAAACCATGAAATCGCTTGGGTGGGCTGAGATTATAATACGCAGACCTTCTGGAACCGTCGCTTTTTTATGTAAACTGGAAAATCGTAACAAATTAGATGGTATAGACCTTAACACATTACCAGCAACACTAAT